ATTGCTTTTCTCACTTTTGAGAGTCCATAGTTATAGGACTTCTGAGCCTATGAAGATTAGAGTAATATTAGATACTCTCTGGCCTGCACATCTCTGGCTGTGGGTCAACTGTGATTGATGCTTAGGTTAAGAGCCATATTAAAGGAGTTTAAGGTGAGATAATTTACCTCCATATCAAATGTCTTTAAGTCATAGAATTGTGCATATTTTGTTTTTCTTTGTGCTTTGTGTCTGTCATCTTTTATTCTCCAGATTGTTGTTTGTTTATATTTTTACATAAATACTCTCTCATTTTGTTCCTTCTAGTATGTCTCTCCTGGTTTTCTTCTTTTAAAAAATGGCTTTATTATGAGGATATACCATGAGTTCTCATATGTTTATTTGACTGCTCCCAGCATATCTGAGGAAAAGAGAGTAGGTTAATACCCTATATTATTCTTCTCAGAAATAGGTATTAGTTTAACCACACAAGCACGCACATACTTACCCTCAGTACCTTCTTTAGTTCTGGAAAGAGCTAATACCATACTGAATTTTAGTAGGTTATAGAGACCTATTACTTAAGTACAGGTAGAAGTCCCTTATTGTTTTTTGGTTTTTGTTGTGTGTTTTTATTTTGTTTTGTTTTGTTTTGAGACAGGATCTCACTCTATCACCCAGAGTGGAGTGCAGTGGCCCAATCATGGCTCACTGCAACCGTCACCTCCTGGGCTCAAGTGATCCTCCTGCCTCAGCTTCTCAAATAGCAGAGACCACAGGTGCGTGCCAGCACGCTGGGCTAATATACTTTTTCCTTTGGATTTTTTGTAGAGATGGGGTTTTGCCATGTTGCCCAGGCTTGTCTTGAACTTCTGAGCTCAAACAATCTGCCTGCCTTGGTCTCCCAAAGTGCTGGATTACAAGCATGAGCCACTGTGTACAGCCAGAAATCCCATTTTGTACTGTATGGCCATTTTCAATTTGGCCACACCATATGACCACTGTATTTTTTCCCTACCTTTTCACTGTTTTATGAATTTTGCTAAATAGGTGTTTTGAGCTATAGTGTAGCTACAGCTAGGTAAGGGATAGAGAAAAGAGAGTGAGAAAAAATGGAGGGAGATGGGTGCAAGGATGGGGAAAGGAGGAGAAACGAGGTTGGGGAAAGAAAGGAAAAAGGTGCTAGGAAGGAGAGGTAGAGGACAGAAGGAGAGAGATAGAAAGGGAAGATGGCCTTGAAAGGCTGTGAAAGCAAAGAATGGTGGGAGAGGGAAGCCAAGAGAGGAAGTAGAAAGGGGAAGATGGGGATGTAGACAGCAAGAGGAAAGGGGGCCAGAGGGAGGGTGATGAGAGAATGGTGGAAGGAAGGAGAAGGGGAGGGCAACCAATACAAGTCATGCTGTTCTCCCTTCTCTTCTGGAGCAACTTCTTTTTTAGTCAGTAGGTTAACAAAGTGGCTAGTATACAATATTTTGATTTCTCATTTACTGTAACTCACTGAGTTACTGATAAAACCTACTGATTGTTCAGTTTTTTAAAAAGCAGATATATATGCTAGAACAAGTTACTACAAAATATCATGACTTTTTCTTTCTTTTTTCTAAACTTGCTGAGTTTCCTTACGGAAGGTAGTCTTCGTTTATAGGGCTTCATTGAGCTCTTGATGCTATGGGACTTACTAATATATATCTAATTGATTTTAGCTTTTATTTTAAGGAGGTGGAAAAAAGGAAATTAACTGAAAGTCAAGGATGACTAAGGAGGGGAGGTGTTTAGTACTTATTTTATCATGAATATTCAATTCTTGCATTTTACTGTTTTGGGCATCTGTTAGGCAAGGAGAGAATTATTGTACTCAATAGTTACTAGCTTGTTGTGACCGTGTGCAGGTGCCTTTATAGGAAGTAGAGATGAAGCATATGATATAATTCAGAGAACTATCTACTCAATAAATCAGAAAATTTTGTTAGAAGATGTAGCTATTTCTTGTATGTCAACTGAGAGATCCTGGCTCAATCTCAGTCTTTGTTTTTTTAGATGTAAAAATAATCTTATTGAGAGCTGGGATGGTGGCACATGCCTGTAATCGCAGGATGAGGTGGGAGGATTACTTGAGCCCGGAGGGTTGCTTGAACCCAGGAGTTTGAGAACAGCTTGGGAAACATAGTGAGACCACATCTCTTAAAAAAAAAAAAAAGAAGTAAAATTTGGCAAGATTACTGAAGTAAGAACTATTGAATTCTAGGCAGAAAAGAAATAGGTTGGCAAGCATTTTCTGTGATGAAATCTGTACATAGTAACATTTTCTTCACTGGTACCTTAGTTGGACCTTTTAAGTAATTAAAGAAACATCATAGCATTGTCTGTGATACTACGTGAAATTTGTATTTTTGCTTCTAAAATCTTTTTATTCCTTAGGGCTTCTGTATGTAATGTACTGTTGACTTGCTGCAAAGATAATGTGTGTCGTCTTTGGGTAGAGACATTTTTACCAAATGATTGTTTGCTATATGGAGGTGACTACAACCATTGGACTGAATCAATTAATTTAACAAATAACTTCAAGAGAAATGCTTCTGGTAAAGAACGAGTTCAAAATGCTTTAGAAGTGAGTGTTTTTGTTACATAACGTACTACAAGTTTTAAAACCTTTGGTACATTGTCTTTTTGGTAACATAGTAATATTATTAAAAAGTCTATATCCTAGGAAAATAATTCTTAGAAAATTTTCAGTTTTATTTGGTTCAAAGAATATATTTTTGTCTAGGTTTTGTCTGGAGCACAAAACTACCTATAAGTATCAAGTTAATTTTAGGTTAACTGATGATGATGATAAAAGGATGATTACATTTGACTTAGCTAAAGTAACATAAAGTAAAATCTGAGAATGCAAATATTTGACTCTTAAAAATAACAGGCCGGGTGCGGTGGCTCACGCCTGTAATCCCAGCACTTTGGGAAGCTGAGGCGGGCGGATGACAAGGTCAAGAGATCGAGACCATCCCGGCCAACATGGTGAAACCCCGTCTCTACTAAAAAATACAAAAAATTAGCTGGGCGTGGTGGCGTGTGCCTGTAGTTCCAGCTACTCGGGAGGCTGAGGCAGGAGAATTGCTTGAACCCTGGAGGTGGAGGTTGCAGTGAGCCGAGATCACGCCACCGCATTCCAGCCTGACGCCTGGTGACAGAGTGAGACTCTGTCTCAAAAAAAAATTTAAAAACCCATATTTTTTCCTTCTTAGAGCTTGAGTATTTTATCCTATTTTCTTCTCCTACCATTTTATCTTTAGAAACCTCACCACACCCCCCAGAACTTGGAGTCTTTACAGATTCATCTGGAGAGTAAAAGTCAACTTTTGATGTTTGGATACACTAAAGATAGAATAGTAATACACCTGATCTTAGCCTAAAGGCTGAGAAGCAGTAGTAGAATAGTAATACAGAATCTTCTCCTTACCATTTTTTTTTTGAAACAGAGTCTCACCCTGTCAGCCAGGCTGGAGTGCAGTCATGTGATCTTGGCTCATTGTACTCCTGGCCTTAGTCTCCTGAGTAGCTGGGATTACAGGTGTGCATCACTATGCTCAGCTAATTTTTGTATTTTTAGTAGGGAGAGGGCTGCACCATGTTGGCCAGGGCTGGTCTCGAACTCTTGACCTCAAGTGATCTATCTGCCTCAGCCTCCCAAAGGGCTGGGATTACAGGCATAAGCCATGGCTCACAGCCTTTCATTTTCTTAATATTGAAAACAGGAAGTGATTTTATTTTTTTGTGAATTTTGTTTTTGTTTTTGACTTTGAGATGGAGCCTTCTCTGTTGCCCGGGATGGAGTGTAGTAGCATATCAGCTCACTGCAACCTCTTCCTCCTGGTTTCGAGCAATTCTCCTGCCTCAGCATGCTGAGTAGCTGGGATTACAGGTGTGTGCTACCACGCCCAGCTAATTTTTGTATTTTTAGTACAAATGGTGTTTTGCCATGTTGACTCAAGTAATCCTCCCACCCAAGCTGGTCTCGAACTCCTGGCCTCAAATGATCTACATGTCTCATCCTCCCACAGTGCTGGGATGACAGACGTGAGCCACCATGCTCGGCCCTGAAAACAGAAATGATTTTGAAACAATTTATCTTTGAATGCTTTGTGTGATTTTGCAGCAACTATTTTTCTAATTTGAATAGTATTCTGATGGCTTAGAATGTAATAAACTCTATGTTGACTCAACAACAAGTAGAATGGTTACAGGTAGTAATAACTGAAAGAAGTTACCAGGAATCTGAAGACTTGTTCTACCTTTTTCCCTGCATCTTCTTAGCTAGATGACCTTGGGTTCTCTATAAAATATTTTATCATATGAAAAATGAGAATAACAATATTTGCACTGCCTGCCTCATGGCATCAAATGGGATGATCCCTATGAAAATGCTTTGTAAATTATGAAATGTCCCATGTGCAAAGGTAATATTATTTAATACTTTGTGGCCACAAAGAGTTAGCTATAGACAAAAAAAGGACTGTTTATATAGAGACGTCATTCACAGACAATAGTATTGACAAAAAAATTTTTTAACATTAGATTTTAGGAAATACATTTTAAGAAAACAAACCAGATAAAAATTGCAAAATATTGTGTGAGGATTAAGAGAAGAGCCAGGTGCTTTAAGTCATAACTTTATTCTTCAGGATTCAAATTTGCTGTACAAAAATGTTGAAGGTGTTTTTACACATAAAATATTCTGAACTAGGATAAATGTAACTTCTGACAATTGTTATGTAGTTTACACATATACAACTTTTGACAACATAGGTATTAGTTTTGTTTCTATTCACACAGGTAAATCTGAGACATTTTCGTAGAGGTCGGAGGAGATCACTTGCACTTGTAGCACATACCGGATATCTGCCACATCAGCAGGATCCTCATCATGTTCACAGGAACACTCCACTGCATGCCAATGCACTTTGCCACTTTCATATTGCAGCCAGCATCAACCCAGCCACAGGTAATAAAACATTGTTCAAAACGTAAGTTATACTTTTAGTTTTAGAATAAGTAGAATATTGGAGGTGACTTTCTTAGCCCACTTTTCATTGTAGTAAGCTCATGGATTTCTGTTTGTTTGCCTTTAAGGCCATGATTTTATTTGTGATTTAGGATCTTGATAAGGCATTGAAGTTCATTATTAGTTTATTCAAAAGTTAAGATTTGAACTGTTGCTTAATAAAAGTACTACAGAAGTAGTATTGTATTCTTTTACTTTTTATTTTTATTATTATTATTATTTTTAGATTGAATTTTGCTCTTGTTACCCAGGCTGGAGTGCAATGGCACAATCTCAGCTCACCACAACCTCTGCCTCCTGGGTTCAAGCAATTCTCTTGCCTCAGCCTCCCGAGTAGCTGGGACTACAGGCGCGCGCCATCATGCCCAGCTAATTTTTTTGTATTTTTGGTAGAGACGGGGTTTCACCCTGTTGACCAGGATGGTCTTGATCTCTTGACCTCGTGATCCACCCGCCTCGGCCTCCCAAAGTGGTGGGATTATAGGTGTGAGCCACCGCACCCGGACTTTTTATTTTTCATAGAGATGGAATCTTGCTGTGTTTCCCAGGCTGGTCTCAAACTCCTGGCCTCAAGCGATCTTCCTGTCTTGGCCTCCCAAAATGCTGGGATTACAGACATGAGCTACCATGCCCAACCTCTAAAAGTAGTATTTTATGATTATCATATAGTTGTTAAAATCTTTGTGTTTGGTACTTGATCTTTGGAGCCATTCCATAAAGAGGGCAGAAATATGTAAAAGCTATTACTGGAAGAATTAAGAAACTTATCTCTGTAGTCAAATATGTACTGTTAGACTAAGAGATCTGGATTATCTGGGTCTACCTATGAATTTGAAAATGTAAGTATTTATTATTTTTGAGACGAGAAATCACTCCTGTTTCCCAGGTGGGAGTGCAGTGGCACGAACATGGTTCACTGCAACCCCAACTTCCCAGGCCCAGGTGATTCTCGCACCTCAGCCTCCCAAATAGCTGGCACTATAGGCAGGTACCACCACGCCCAGCTAACTTTTTGTATTTTTAGTAGAGACTCGGTTTTTCCATGTTGTCCAGGTTGGTCTTGAACTCCTCAGCTCAAGAGTTCTACCTGGCTTGGCTCCTAAAGTGTTGGGATTACAGGCATGAGCCACTGTACCCAGTCAGCAGTTATTACTTTATATGTATATAAAATAATAATATACAGAGTCAAAAATAAATATGTTTAATATATTAAAAATACATATTCAAAATATATATAAATTACATATATATATATATTTTTGTTTGTTTGTTTGTTTTTGGACAGAGACTTGCTCTGTCACCCAGGCTAGAATGCAGTGGTCCAGTCTTGGCTCACTGCAACCTCCGCCTCTCAGGGTCAAGCAATTGTCATGCCTCAGCCTCCCAAGAAGCTGGGATTACAGGAATGCGCCACCATGCCCAGCTAATTTTTGTATTTTTAATAGAGACAGGTTTTCACCATGTTGGCCAGGTTGGTCTTGAACTCTAGGCCTCAAGCCTGGAGGCCGCATCGAGTAAATAATTTTTATGAGTATAAAAACTGGTTGTCACAATTGGAACATTTAAAGTAGAGCCCTGGAATATTACTTGAAAAAAAAAAATTAAAGGCAATATTTGCATAAGGTGTTATTTGTATAAAAAGTGAAAAGTGAAAGCCCCTTTCAACTCTACCACACCTTTGTCCCTCTCCCTAGAAGATAACCACTAACAACTACTTGATGAGTTTTTGTTTATTATGAAATTTTTTTTTTTTTTTTTTTGAGACAGAGTTTCGCTCTTGTTGCCCAGGGTGGCGTGCAGTGGTGCAATCTCAGCTCACTGCAACCTTTACCTCCTGGGTAGAAGCAACCTCCTGCCTCAGCCTCCTGAGTAACTGGGATTACAGGCACCTGCCACTATGGCCAGCTAATTTTTTGTATTTTTAGTAGTGACAAGGTTTCACTATGTTGGCCAGGCTAGTCTCAAACTCCTGACCTCAGATGATCCACCCATCTTGACCTCCCAAACTGCTGGGATTATAGACACTTTAGGAGGCCTATAATCTGGCCATTACGGAATATTCATAAGCATAAATTAAGGATAACCTATTTTCATATAGTACATTGGATTTACAGTATTGCATTCTTCAAGGAAACATAGTGATAAAGATGGCCCATTAATTACTTGAATAGAATTTAATCTGTTAAAGCAAGAAGTACTCTGATAAGTCAAAGTGTAGAGATACTGTGGTAGGAATGAAAAGTATCTGCTGACCTAGATTTTATTTGGTTGACAACAGTCCTAGCTCTAAAATAATTTATGAGCCAAGAATAAATGGGAGAATCTTGAATTATCTTTATTAAAAAATCATATAGGCTTGAGACCAGGCACAGTGGCTCATGCCTATAATTTCAACACTTTGGGAGGCCAAGGCATGCAGATTACTGGGGGTCAGGAGTTCAAGACCAACCTGGTGAAACCCTGTCTCTACCAAAAAATGCATATAAAAATTTGCTGGGCGTGGTGGCGTGTGCCTGTAGGTTTCAGTCACTTGGGAGACTGAGGCAGGACAATTGCTTAAACCCAGGAGGCAAAAGTTGCAGTGAGCTGATACCAAGCACTGCTCCTCAGCCTGGGTGGCAGAGTGAGTGAGACTCTGTCTCAAGAAGAAAAAAAGTCTTCAAACGTAGGCTTTTACCTTTATTTTAAACATACTCACAATGGTTATGATGCCCAGAGTCAACGTTAAGGACAGCTGAATAGTTTTGAAGATCCCCGCTTAGTAAAGGACAGTATTATGAGAATAAGGAAAGCATGAATTCTGTATTAATGGAAAAGGCTTGAGGGGTTACTGAAAAAAAGGAACCCTAAATTCTAGTGCGGTATTTCTTTGACTAGCTTCCAATAGGAAAACTCTAAGGTCTTTCTTTAGATGGTTAGGTCCCTAAGGAAAATATCCAGCAAGTCAAACATTAGTAGCTAAATTGGACCCTATGGAGAATTTCTTTCCCTAAATTTGATTTGTTGGAATGACTTTTCTGGATGCTTTATTTCTTATTCAAAGCACAACTCTCAGATTTGGCTTCACTTATTTGTCCATCAATAGAAATGGTTACAGGAGAGGCACTCCTAGAGCATGTTCTCTTAGTTCTAACTCTTATACACTGTCCATGAAGATTTTTAGTAAAAATGACATTATTCAAATTTTTGAATGTGTTCAGGATGTAGAAGAGGTGTGTTTCCTTTTGGTTAGAATGCTTCTGCTAAAAGCCAGCATTATTCCGTCTTCTTGTGAATTTAACAGTAAGGCCTACTAAAGGCATTGCTGATCTCTTTTGAGGGGCTGATTGTAAGTCAGATATCAGAAAGTCTTACCCATGAATTCTTGGGGGCACTCTCTTAATCTCTGGCACCACTGTGTATCCATCTAGGAAGAATGGGACTGGCAGTGAGGCCAGCCAAGGCTACTGCTGAGTGCTTAATCTGTCCCAGTGTAGGAACTAGAAGTTGTGGTAGGAAGTAATGATACAGTGGTAATCAGAACAGGTAGGGTTCTTGCTCCCATGAAGCATATAATCAGGCAAGGGATATATAAATATCAGTGAAATAATTATACTAAGGAATGTATAGTTATAAACAGATTCTCTTGGATTGGATGTAGCTATCAAGTCTTAGAACCTGCCTCCAATAGAAGGGACAGGAGGAAATTTTTTAAAATCCTTTCCTTTACATTCATCTCCTATAATATTCTTTCTAACAATATGGTACCTAACAATGGATACATTGTTTGGAGAGATATTTAATCCAAATTATTTACCTTTTTTTTTTTGAGATGAGATGGAATCTCGCTCTGTTGCCCAGGGTGCAGTGTCATGGTCCCGGCTCACTGCAACCTCTGCCTCCCAGGTTCAGGTGATTTTCCTGCCTCAGCCTTGTGAGTAGCTGAGACTATACACACCTGCCACCGTGCCCAGTTAATTTTTGTCTTTTTAGTAGAGACTGGGTTTCACCATATTGACCAGGCTGATCTCGAACTCCTGACCTTGTGATCTACCCACCTTGGCCTCCCAAAGTGCTGGGATTACAAGTGTGAGCCACCACACCTGGCCTTTACCTTTCTTTTAAAAAATAGATTTATTTTGGAGAAAATTGTTTATACTCCTTATGTTCATTCTAGCCTTTACAATTTAGCAGATACCAGCATGATCCAGGTTTGATTTAATATGATCCTTGAATTTTTGCTTACTTCTACTAATTATGGATTATTTGTCACAACTGACTGGATTTGTACTTCAGTATACTCAATTTAACATTTATATCAAAAGTAATACCAAGGGGTCGGAATATCAAACTATAATTCCAACACTTTGGGAGGCCAAGGCGGGTGTATCACCTGAGGCCTGGAGTTTGAGAACAGCCAGACCAACATGATGAAACTCCGTCTCTAGGGAAATATATATATATAAAGTTGGGTGTGGTGGTCCACACCTGTAGTCCCAGCTACTTGGGAGGCTGAGGCAGGAGCATTGCTTGAACTAGGCAGAGGTTGCAGTGAGCCGCAGTGACACCACTGTACTCCAGCCTGGGTGACAAAGCGAGACTCCATCTCAAAAAAAAAAAAACAAAAAACAAAGTAGTACCAAGGAACAAATTTTTTTTAGCTGAGGTGGACTGTCTTGAATGCTTTCCTTGACCATGAAAAGGGAACCTCAACTTCAATCTTGATGCTAACAAATAAGCAGTCCATCTTAGAATTAGATAGGTCATTAAAGAGGTTAATAGGTCAGTCTATTAAGTAAAAACAAATTGTTGCTACTAAGATACATATGTTCCTAGTTCCTTTGACATTATGGTGACTTTTTTTTTTCTTTTTTCTTTTTTCTTTTTTTTGTGGATCAGCTTAAAATTTGCTTGTTACCAAAATTTGTTATAAATTAGATATTTCTGTTAACAGAGCTACAAATTATAGACATTTTTATCATGTGAATATGTTTCAGTGTTAAAACATTTTGGTTAAAAATACATTATACTATGAAACATAGAATATATAATTTAATCTCCTTTA